AAAGACCAAATAATTTATTAAGTATCTAAAAAAAGATTTCTTTTGAGTAATTTGTCATTTTTAATATTATTTATGTTTTGACATAAAATAAACTATATTTTTAAAATGATTAAACTATATTTTAAAAATAAAAAAATGAAATGATTAAAAAATAAGCTAAAAACATATATTTTTAAAAATAATAATAACAATAAATAAAGTTAATCTCAAATAATCGATTAATTATTTGCTGAAAGTATAAGTATACATACAATTTTTACAAAGATATATAGAAATCATATAACTTTATATTATATTTCAATAGAGCTATGTTCTATTCAAAATTGACTTGAAAGAAAGCTTAAAATTTTGAACGTTAAGCGACTTAAATATAAATTTACAAATATTATATATTCCAATCTTGAACCCAAAACCATCTCGTTGAAGGCCTAAGCTTGCATTCAACAAGTTAATATGGGCTGCATCATTAGGTAATAAAAATTATCAATATAAATTTAAAATGATATAAAATTCTGATGAGCTTAGAACTACAGTTGTATTTGACTTAAATTATAGCTTAAATATTTAATAGAGTTCGAGCTCAATTTAAGGCTTTATTTGGAACAAATTTCTTAATATTTTCTAAATCAAATTTTTAATACAAAACTTTTCATATTAAAAAATAATAAAAATGCTGTCCCCAACAAAATCTAAATTTAACAAATTAGAATCAACTCAAAAGCTAGCGAAGAAGAATTTCAATTCAAATTATGATTATAATAAATTAATAAACAATAAAAAAAACAAGAAGTAAAACAATAATAAATAACTTAAGATAAATATTTTTTTTAAATGACTTACCAAATTTATAGAACACTTAAATTATAAAATATTTGAGTAAAAAATTTTCCAAAGGATGAAGTCACTAGCCCTATGCTAATTTCACTACTAAATACTAACAGATATTCATTAAATTTACAATTAATGACACTTTTCTTCAACATCAACGGTCAAAATAAATTTAAGTCTGAGTTAACTAGCCGAGTCTTCACTCAAGTACATTCATCATTTCCTCCTCGTCCTGCTCCCGGACAAAAGCACCTTCCTCTTAAAGGAGCTCACATTCATCTCACCGTTCTCTGCATTCCAAGGTCGAAAAATCCCACCTTTTTCCCTTGTTCTCCATTAACGGAGTCGGTCCCGTGGTGAAAGAGTGAGTATGGCCATCTCTTGGTACTATTCCTCTAGAGAGAGGTAGAGAGAGAGAGAGCAGGAATCATGTGACCCAGCGTTGCGCTTATATATACTGAAAGCTTTCCCAATCCTCTTCGAATTTCCTCTTCCCCTGCACTTCTTCCCCAATTTTCAGCTGAAAGGTATGTCGTCAAGTGCGTCGAGGTTCATCAAATGTGTCACAGTTGGGGACGGGGCCGTTGGGAAGACTTGCATGCTAATCTGCTACACGAGCAACAAATTCCCGACGGTTTGGTTCTTCTTTCCTTTTGAAATCTTTTATTGATCTTTTCTTTTGTGGATTTCAGTCGGATTCTAGAAGGGATTTCGTGATTGTTTCACTAATTAGAATTCTGGGTTAACGTTTCTAGGACTATATACCCACTGTGTTTGATAATTTCAGTGCCAATGTAGTGACTGAAGGAACTACTGTGAATTTAGGGCTATGGGACACTGCTGGTAAGGCTGCAGTGATTGATTGTTAAGCTGTCTTCTTGAAATCGGGGGTTATTCTGTATTTGTGAAGGAAAATTTTGATTTTTTTGAGATTTAACGTGAATAGGGCAAGAGGACTATAATAGACTGAGACCTTTGAGCTATCGAGGGGCTGATGTCTTCGTGTTGTCTTTTTCATTGGTTAGTCGCGCGAGCTATGAAAATGTGCTGAAAAAGGTGCACTTGAGATGTTGATTTTGTGTATGTTCTGATTGGTATTTGATGTGCAATAATTGTTTTATATGATTGTTTTTTTATTTCTTTTGATATGATTTTAGTGGATTCCTGAGCTACAACATTATTCTCCTGGAGTTCCTATTGTACTGGTTGGCACAAAATTGGGTAAGCAAGAAAGCATCTTATGTTTTATACCCTTAATCAAAATAGTGTTAGCTTTCAAGAACCATGCATTAAAGTTGTGATGATGCAATACCTTCTGTCAGCTTTGCTTGTGTTAATTTTTTATGGTTAAAAGAAGTTCTCTTGAGCTGATTTATATGATTAAAAGAATAACCCACTAAATATGAGTGTAATTACAGGCAGCTAAATCATGGCTTCTTAATTCTTGGTGACTATGTTGGGCATCATGCTTTACTTGTCTTGAGACCTCTCTCCAATGAACTTTTGAATAAGGTTGTCAATTAGGCTTCATTTTTACGATAAGCTTATGTTCGGTTCCATAATTATCTTGAGTTTGACTTGCTCACTAAATCAATTGAGTTGAACCTAAAGACGAAGTGAGTTTGGTGACTTTGGTCATAGTGAATGGGTTATGTCTAAAGAGGTTGTGAGTTTCGTTCTATCTCTAACTATTTCAACAAGCCTGAAAAGGTTGTATAAGTTTGTTTACAAAACAATTTAAAAACCATTAAGCACCTACTTAGTAATGTCTAGACACATATGTGCTTACTATAATGAACGGAAGAGAGGTGGAGGCATGGTCTCATTGTTATTAATGGTGAGTTGATTGCTCGTCTAGGTGACCGGATGAATTAAGCCAAGGCTCCAAGACCTCAAACACCTCGATGGTAGGCGTCATCTAGGTGAGTACCTTGGTGTAAGTCTCTAGGAATTGGTTTCTTTGATGTAAATTTTTAATTATTTTAAAGCATACATGGCCATTTTATGAGGTGGAGGAATATAAAATATTATGATAAAGAAGTGATTGAGTGACGAAGAAGATGAAATAGATAGTAGTAAAAAATATAAGAACCTTACGCCATTGAAGTTAGAAATATAACTTTTGGGCCTAGTGGACACTTTGTTTTAGATGATTTATTGCAAGATCTTATTATTTTGGCTCTTGAATGGCACAACTTGAAAATTTGTTTTTGCTTATGTCATTTTAAGATTTTATTGTGATGATTATATTATACTCTCTAAAAATAGTCATCATAATTAAAATGCATTTTTTTACGTCACAACTTGCTCGAGCAAGTGCATAACACCTTGAGCATTAGGTAAACATGCTAACTTGAGGGAAACTAACTCCCTTTAATAACACTAAGGCACACATCTCCAGTAGCCTAGATTAGGTTGACATATTGAGATGGGCATGTTATAAGTATACAACCACACACCCATATTTCTCTATTAGCTTAGATCACTACCATGGGATAGTTTAGCCTGCTCACTATGCATCACCAAGGCATTATTTTTAGAGCTCAATCCTTGGCTATAAGATTATGATCAATATAAAGCATTCGTATAGACCCAAGCCTAGCATTCTCTCCTTTCGTAGCAATCATATGCCCCATTATTTTTTATTGATTATTCTCTTCATGCGTCTCATTTTTCTCTCACTCAAATTAATGGGCAAACACCTAAACTGCATGATGATTTTGTATTTGTTTTTTATTTTGTTCCATGAAAAATGAGTTGGGCTTGAGCTTGGCTCGTTTTCAGATGGATGGAAATAAAATTAATATGGACTAGGGATTGCTTTCTCAAGCATGACTTATCTACACCCTTAAGTGGGAAAGAAGTCTTGAATATGTTTCTTGCAGAAATGTCTTTATGGAGAAGAATGTGTCAATTAGAAACCCATTCTAGTTTTCTAGGTTTTTTTGAATACCGGTATGATTTCTTCTCTAATTCTTAGTAGATTTTAGTGAAAGCTGGATTTATACAGTAATAACAATTAAAAGCGGAAACCCAAAATTAGGAAAGTTGTAATCAAAATGCAGCTAAAAATGTGAAGGATAATAGTAGTAGTCAAAATAAAAAAGATCGCCATTCATTCCTTACAAAATAGGGAAGATATTCACACCCTTCCACGCTCCTCTTCAAGATGGAGTATAAATATTGATTTTATCCTTCTTTCCAGCAAGTGTTTCAAAGTTTGATCTTGGAATATAGGCATGTCTGTCACTTGTAGTGTTGTATGGACATAGATCATACAGATGACTTTCTTGCTTTATATTTCTTTCTTGATAAAGTGCCTGTCTATTAACCAAAATCTCTTTCAGCAGTAGCTTTAAGAGGTTAACCTAAACACATTACTTAGCACCGGGCAGCACTTCTTGAAATGCTTTTTTTCCGTTGTTGGTTTTATTTGCAATAAAAATTAGTCACCGTTATTATCACATTCATGTAAAGTTGAATGTCAACATACATCTTTGTTTTAGTAGTACCTGTTTCCAATACTTTTTCTTTCCCATCATATGGCATATAAGCCTCTGTTCAAACTCAATAGATTGTTAGTTATGAATCCGACTTTTTCTAAATTCAAATTGAATACCATCTAAAACATAAGCTGTCCCATTAAAGTCATATTATTGAGCATGGACTGTGGATAGTCTGCTAAATATATTTTTGTCCTTCAGTAAATGATATTAACAAAAACTTGGTCCTTCAGCTAACTTTCCAGTAATTTTATTACCTTTATAGTGTAGTTGTTTATAATGTAATAAAAAAACTACGCTTGCAGGCACAGGTTCCCCGTTTTTTGGTCATAAGTAGAATGCGTTATGACTTGGGCTTTATTTGGGACAGCTTTTTTGTTGCTTTTTAAAGTAACTTTTTAGTACAAAAATTAAAATTTTTATAATAGAAAGCTTCTTTAAGAAGCAACAAGAAAGTCAACCCAAACGAAGTCTTAATTTTGTGATTCAGTGTATGTTAAAGTATTAATGGTTTTGTTACATTCAATCAATAAAACTAAATTGAAAGGCATTGCCATACTTGTGTTCCTTATCATTCATATTGGTTAGATATCTTTTTAATGGTTGATATGGCCTTTCAGATCTTCGTGAGGACAAGCGTTATTTGGCAGATCACCCAAGCGTAGTTCCTGTTACAACATCACAGGTCCACCTTCTATGCCTATTCTGTATGGCTTCTGCAATTTAACACACTGCTTATTACAAGGGATGAATCACTTCACACTTCCCTTTGCTCAATTTTGATATCAGGGAGAAGAATTGCGTAAGCAGATTGGTGCTACATATTTCATAGAATGCAGCTCAAAAACTCAGCAGGTTAGTGATGGTGTTCATCTTTTTTCTCTCTTTCAGTGACGTTATTTTTTGTTGAATTTAACCATTATGCAGTTAAAGGTTGGAACTTTGAGTGTTGGTTTCTTCAAAAGTTGATGTTTGTTCCTTTTTTTTCCCCGTTATATCTGATGAGAATCTAGTAAATTTTTCTTGTTTTATTAATTTGGAACCACATGCTTAATTTGCAGAATGTCAAGGCAGTTTTTGATGCTGCAATCAAGGTTGTTATTCAGCCTCCACCAAGATTGAAGGAGAAGAAAAAAAAGCGCCAACATAAATGCTCAATAATGTTAGTTGATATTTATGTTTCGTTAAAACTACTATTGCTCTTCTTTTTTGGCTGATCTCATATATACTGCAGTAACTGCACGGAATTTTGTTGTGATAGCTCTTGACAGCTTTAATCCTGTATGCATTTCTCTTTTTTGTCGAAAAGAATGATTTGCACTTCATCTCTTACAATTTTCTATTTAACTTTTTGAATCATTTGGTATTATTTCTTTATGTTTGTTCTTTTTAGATGATTATTGTTAGCCTCTAGCTTACATTCATGCTTGATTGCTCTACTTATTTGCTCATTAATTCAATAATTATCCCTTTAAGTTATGTAGAATATTCTTTGGTACTTCTTGATCTAGAGTTTAAACTCTTTTTCTCTTCTCACTTTTCTCATCCAGGACTTGGGACCTGGCAACGGCAGTGTTTTAGTTAACAAATGAATACCACTGTTAATTTTTATCTTTGTTAATATGGGACCATGGGTATGACAGCACAAAATATATGGTATCAGGCATATACGTGAAAAGGTTGGAGTAAAGTGGCTTTACCCTTAGAGATAGGATACGAAATGAGCATATACGTGAAAAGGTTGGAAGATAAGATTAGAGAGACGCCTTAGATGGTTTGGTCACATTAAACGTAGTCTTCCTATGACCTGGTTAGAAAAGTTGAGGTATTAGATTTGACTTATGTTAAGAAAGGTAGGCGTAAACCTAAAAAGATTTGGTTAGAAAATATTAGAAACGAACTTTCTTTATTAGATTTAAATGAGAATTTGACTTTTAATAGGACACAATGGCGAAAAAGGATTAATGTTGCCGACCCCACGTAGTGAGACAAGGACTTGATGTTGATGTTGATGATTTGGCATTTTCAATAAAAAATTTAAACAATATCATAGCAGCACTGATACTTGGCACAAAATAATAGTTAGAGTAGAGATGAACGGGAACTAACATGAGAGACCTGAGTAGGGGGAGAGAGAGCGAGGAATGAGAGAGAAGATCGAAAAAGAGGAGAGGAGAGATACTATGAGAAGCCTTAATAGAATGCAGCTCAAAAGCCATGGTGGTGGAGGTGAAATTGGAGTATGCATATCACGAATATTAGCAGTAATAAGAAATTGTTCGTCCGTGAAAGGATTTGGGGGATTTAGCTGAGGATATTATGCTCTTCCTGAATCAAATCAATAATCCGAAATAGAATACCATGTCAGTACAAATTTTGGCAATGATGGTAGTATGAAGTCAATCTGTGCGAGTGAAAAAGTTGATAATAATATAGGGAATCAAGTAGCAGTCTCAATCATTGGTGGAGAATATGGATATCTCCGTATGTTATGCCACTGTGTGTGATAATTAATTGGACAATTTAATAGTATAAGCCGTGAAAGATAGTCAGTTGGTGAAAGAAAATGTTAATAGTAGCTGTGCTGTAACAACCCGAATCTCCAGTTATAAAGTTTATCGAGCAACAATAGTGGTGAAGGCTCCTCAAACTCAGGTGCAACATCTATTTGAAAACCGTAATCATGAGACTTCTTTTTTTCTTTTTTGGCTATGGATGGGTTTCTGATAGAAAGTACTTGAGTTCGCAAGTAACCCTAAGGATAATACTTGAGTTCGCAAGCAAACATAGCAAGGATTGACAAAAACAGTGAGAAAAAGGACTGACAGAGAGAAATCAGCAAAAATCATGCAAGAAATTTAGTAGATTGGAGAGAAAACACAAGGGAAATAACTTTGATTCAATCCACGAACAAGAAAAACATAGCAAGATACAAATTTCTTCAATTTGAGAGGAAGAAACAACTCTCCAAATCTCTAGCAAAGCCCTAGAGCCCACACGAAATAAAACCCTAGATCTCAAAATTCAGCAAATCTCAAGATTGCTCAAGCCTAGCCCCCAAAGGACTAATTAAAGCCAAAGAAAACTTACAAAATCCCTAACAGCCCCTAATTCAAATTTTCCCTTCTACATACAATTTAATTAAGTAGAGGGCCCCACTAGGGCTTCCTCCCCAACCCCCCTGGTTCCGCCCCTTGCTTGGGCCAGCGGCTATAGCATAAGACCGGTCCTTGTTAGACCAATTCAGCCGGCCCCTCCTGGGCCGGCAACATAACAATTTCCTTTTACCGAATAACCTTCAGCTTATTATTATTATTAAAGTAACAAAACTTTCATATTATTATTATTATCAAGTAACAAAAAATTTAATTGAAAATTTTAATTGGATTACAAGGTAAGACAAAGGCCTAGAAGATACAAGAGACTCAACATCCCAACATAGACCATAGGATAAAAATAAGTAAATAAATCTTAATCTGCGTCACCTCCTGCTTCATTTCCTACAGCCATTCGGTAAAAATAACAGAAACATCTAGAATTGTCTCAATATTACTCTCATAAGTTGATTTGGATAAAGACCCCAACTGTAGTAGGTTATGATTGAAGTAGAATCATTAGAATTAGTTTCTTTTTTAGAGGATGCATTCTTCTCACATATTTCTTGATCAAATAAGGAATCAAGAGGAGTCATCGTGACCTTAAGAGTCTTTTGTTTCTTTGAGCTCACCTTTTTTAAAATCATCTTCATCCGCCAAATGTTCACCATCCCATCAACTCCCACTAAAAGAATAAAGAAATATTAATCAACCCATGAGTTTTTGTATAAGGTAGAGATTTATGCTTCATTTGGAATAGCTTTCTGATTGCTTCTTGAAACAATTTCTTAATACAAAAATTAAAATTATTGTATTAAAAAACTGCTTTAAGCAGCAGTAAAAAAGCCATCCCAAATGAGGCCTTAGAGTTATAAATATCACTCAGTTTTCTCCCAAAAAGTAATACCAACTTGTGTATGAGATGTTTCAATACTTTGATAATTGGTGGTGCTTCTTGAAACAATTTCTTAATACAAAAATTAAAATTATTGTATTAAAAAACTTATTTAAGCAGCAGTAAAAAAGCCATCCCAAACGAGGCCTTAGAGTTATAAATATCACTCAGTTTTCTCCCAAAAAGTAATACCAACTTGTGTATGAGATGTTTCAATACTTTGATAATTGGAGGTAGGTAAGTGATTGAGATTAGCATTAGGAATTCTGGACGAGTAGATCATGGCTACAATATGTGGGTGCACTAGGAGGAGATACATTTGGCATAGAATCATTTTACAAATATGCAATGCTCGGCAATAGATCAAACTTATTAATATATAATGAAGAGGGAGGTAGAATAACATCCTTTTTGTTCCTGATTCTAAAATGACTTCTCCCATGCCGAGGGGCAGCTGTATTATCGGCATTGTTGTTCCAGAGATTAGAGCAGTGATGGGTGGAGAAATAAAACATAAGTTGATATGGCCTAGTTTTGAAATCATAAACCACCACTAGTTCCTAACACACCAGGTAGGCTTAGGTTAATCTTGTCAGGTACTGAAGAGGAAAGCGTAATCTCAGCATAGATCTGTTAGACCGGCCCAGGATGGGCCGGTTGGACCGGTCCAGCAGGGACCGGTCCGCGTCTACGCGAGACGCTCGCGAGAAGACCGAACGGGCGGAAACGGCTCTGCCGTGAGCCGTGAAGTTTAGGAGGGAAATTTTGAACGTAAAAGGCTGTTTTAGGAAGTTTATGATTGTCCTTTATGATTAATTTTGTATAATTAGGAGTTTGGGGGAGAATTAGGGGATCATCTTGGAATTGAATCATTTTTGAGATCTAGGGTTTGTGTTCTTGGGCTCTAGGCTACGGCTAGAGATTTGGAGAGTTTTTCCTTCCTCTCGAATTGAAGGAAAGTTGTATCTTGCAAGTGCTTTTCATTTCTCATTAAATAAAAGTGTTTGCTTTGTTTCTCTTACGTTTTTCTCCTTCGTTTTCTCTCCGAATCCACTGTTTTTGGCTGTTTTCTTGTGTGGACAGCAGTTTTCATCCTAGATCTACTTGGTTCTTGGTGTGAAACACTTGGAAATCCAAGTGTTTCCTATCAAGATCCTTGCAAATATTATTCCAGATTTAGCTGCAGCAAGTTTTTCAATCGCTATAGGTGTCGGTGCCCAAAAACTAGATAAGCTTGATAATGTTGTTCTTAAGTAAATAAACTGTTAGGAAATACTTGATGATCTCAAGTAAATCCTAACAATATTGATGGAATAGTGAGAAACCTCCACAAATTCAACGGAAAATCAGAGAAAAAATATAAATTTTATTGCAAGAACACAAACTAACGGAAGAAAAGTAACAAGATACAATTGATCCTCTATTCGAGAGGAGGATCTATCTCTCCCAAATCTCTAGATGCCGTTAGAGCCCAAAAACCTAAACCTAAGAGATCTCAAATTTCAGCCAAATTCAAGATGCCCTAATCCTAGGAAAACAAGCTATATAATGCATACAAGTCCCTACTTTCAAATTTCTCTCCTAATTCTCTCAAAAAACATTTCTAAACAACTCTTTCGCAACTGGTAGCTTGCACGGTGCGTACAGGAGGAGGAGAGTTACCACCCCTTTTAGCGTGAGCCTGTCCTGTATGGACCGGCTAGACCGGTCTAACATAAACTCACGGAAAATCAATTGCTTCCCAGAGACAAACAAAAGGCCACCACTCAGACAAAATCCATTTCGTCATATAGATTAGAAGGTTAAGAACAATTCATAGCCAAAACATTAAGGTCATTGTTGGTTTTCCAAATATTCCTATCTTCAAAGAGATGAGATTCAAATTATGGTCTTTCATCCTTACAGTAACTCACTAAACAAAGCTCAGGAAGCAGATCCAGCACTAATTTCTTCAGCAGAGAATGTTATCTCTTTATGCACCGGTGCTTCTCAAGATTAGAGGCTGATGCATGGAAAAATTATTACATGCGGTGTCCGCATGCTTCTGGAGGCCAATCCGGAGCTGCCACATCACCCAATGCACAGTGCATTGGATGATGTGGCCCTTCGGACGCATTCGGACTCCGTATAGAATAATCTCTCGGATGAATGGGAGTCACCGGAGTTGGAGAACAATAATTTCCCCATAGACATTGCTAGTGGTAGAGACGATGGATGTAACTTGATTTCACACCCTGTAGACTTTTTATTTTTTTATGTTTCTTAATAAAGCACCTTAATTAAGTTTAATTTTCCTACATCAGCAGCATAATAGATCAAAAAAAATTTGTTTGAAACTGCAGGAACATATTTTGCGGGAGGAAGCTTGTGTGTCTCAAGTGAAAGCTCTTCTCACTTACATCTCCATAGTTTTTTTTTTTTTGCGATTAAACTTTCAGATTGTGTGACAGCTTAATAGAAATCATGTTTCAGATCAATTTCTATCTCTATCTACAACCTTTTGTATTGTATTCTAAATTCTTTTGTCTGGGCTGGAAGGGATAATCATTTTATTTGTGTTGTAATCTGCTAGTGTTTAATTTGTTTGATTAATGGATTATATGCTTTACTGAAAGAGTGGAATGTCCTCTGTTCTATTTCATTTGAAATGTAAATAGACACAATATATCATGGCTGTTTTAAGCTTTGCTTTTCAAAGAATATGAATGTATTTGATTTGGCTTGATGGTTTATGAGTTAAGTCAAATTAAGGTTTCAGTTGGGACAATTTTTTTATTGCTTCATGAAGCAGTTTTTTAGTACAAAAATTATTAAATAAAAAATATATATATTATATTAAAAAAATTACTTTATAAAGAAACAAGAAAGATGTTCCAAACAAAATAAATTATTATGTGCATACACTGGATCCCGTGTGAAGGCCAACTAGAAAGCAGCATGTCATATTTTTGCTCGGTATCGGTGTTGGATACCGTTGGATACTGGGTGATGTGGCACGTTATGGCTGAACTCTAGACTGTTCGGCACCCAAGTAGAATAATTTCTCACCAAACAAAGCCTAAATCTGACTCCAAATGTTTGACCTTGAAATTTGTTATTAAATATAGAGAATGAATGTTTAAAATTTTAAAAAATTAATTAAAATCTCCAAATATAATATAGCTTTTGTAAACTTATTTTAAAGTTTAGAATTGTAATTCGGCTTATTAGAATTTTAAAATTTCTTCTTTCAATCAGTGCGTTACATATTCGAGTTCTTATCTCGTCATCATAAGCCCTTATCTCATTATTATTATAAATCTGATACTTTGAGGTCCTTATAATATAACTAAGACGTTTATTTAATAATTGTTATTTTATTTTCACTTATAACGCAGATATTGACTAGTTATTATAGAATATAAAGGGATTCACCATTGTTAAGGCTTTAATTTGCTATGAATTGTAACGAACACAAAAAAGGATCAGCATATTTTCATATACTAGACTAAGCCAGTCTATTAGTTTGGTCATTTTGTTGTTGAATTAAGTTTGAGGATTTTTATGAATGATGATAACTCTTAGCGCCTCTTTTATGTAATTTCACCTGCCTATATGATTAAAGATTGTCACGTCTTGTCAGGCAAGTTATGCTAATTAAGATAAATCTCATAATGAGGAAGAATCAATGGAGGCAAAGCGATTAACAAGTAGGAAGATTGTTGGTTCAGTAAGGGATAATGCTAATCATATGGCACCGAAGTGTGCATTTTATGATCGAAAATGAACATATGAAAGCATTTTGTTGGATAGTGTCTCTCAGAACCTTGAGACTTGGAAAGGTAATGAAATTTAATTTTGACTCTGCCTTAAGGTCTTACACATTTCTCTCAAAACCTTTGCTTCTATTCTAGAAAGATAGCCTATCTTCTAAAAATTGTCTTACAAAGATACAAACAAATTTCCATATACAGTAAGCTCATATGGACATGATATTGTCATTTATCAATCTTTTTTTAATTTTTCCAAGGTATCTGCCCTTAACTGATATGTAAATTATAGGAAGCTCTTGAAAGGAGAAATACTGCTTCCATTGCTGCAACCAAGGCTTTGGAAGAGGCTTTGGCTACATAATCGATTATTAGGAGTTTAAGTTAATGGATTGCTTGTTTTTAAAATTTTTTGTATCATTTCTCAATCTCTAATATGTCTAATTCAACCCCTAATCATTTACCTATGTAGTGTGTTCTATGAACTATGCTTGATATCAAAGAAGGGAAATCTGCTACGAACAATCAACAATTTCTTATCCATCTATGATTGATGTTATGAAGGAGACTTTAATAGTTGCATTTCTTGTTGCCAACCGCATATTTAATTTTGTCTGTTGATTCACTTTCCATCAATCAAGCCAAATCAGCTACCTTCTATGTTGAAGCAGCACTAACAATAGACCTTGGAGTTATGAATCTGATAAACTGCATCATTGATAGCCACGCAAAGCAGAAATACTCTGAAAAAATTGCAATTCCATGTGAAGATTATCCAAAATCAAACATATCTAAAAGGATTTCTCTTGGAAAACATGCTAAAAGACAAACAAAAGTATCAGTTACTTGTTTTGCTGCTAACTTTTGGACCATATGACAAGATGTTGGTCATATACTAAAGCTTGTAGAAGCACTTGAAAATGAAATGCAAATTTGGTTTATAAATTTTGTGGAGGGAGCCATAAGTGTAAGGTTTTTCATATTTGGTGAGTAGAAAAAAAGGTATTGGAGAAGGTATTTTTAATGCCAATAGTAGAGTTGCTGTAGTTGGGTTTCACTTGAAGCAAGTTAGTGACTGGATTGATACGGTTTAAGTAAGCTTGAAGATAAAGTTCTGGTGGAAAAGATTGAGCATGTGAGGGGAAAAGATTTGCAATTTTGTCATGACCAATATGGGATTGAAGCTGACTCGTTCTACTTGGGATGAGGCTAACAATGATGATATAATGACAGACATGGGATCACCATTCCATAATGCATTTTCTTTTGACAAGTCATGACTGCTTTGCACAATTTCAGTACATTAGTTTTTTTGGTAAAGATGGGGTAATTAAGTGTTGTTGTTTATCTTTCTGTTCATTGATATGCTGTTGGTTTTGGTCTTTTCTTAAGCCTTCAAATAAATGGCAAGCCTATCTCTTGTTAGTTGTAGTCTGCTAAATGACTATTATTGTTGTCATAATTTTAAAGCTTCTAATATAAGGATAAGGATATTGTTTTAATGATTGTTTGTGACTTATGAAATAAATTCATGTGAAAAATACTTTATGTTTTGCTTGGTGGGAAATGTGAGCTTCTGTGATTGAACATTTCATGCTTCTTTATGTTTTAAAATTTCACCATTTCTCAAATGTTTTGATACCTGTAACTTTGCAAGCAAATCTCTCTCTAAATAAATTATAAAATAAATAAAATTTGTCATAGTCAAATTTTAGTATAGTTGTTTTCACTTATTTGTTTTTAAATTTAATTAGAAGTTTGAGGAAGAGAGAAAAAGTAGTAGAGAAACATAATCAGTTCAGTTTCTGTAAGAGTTCTATCACGAGTAGCTATGCCAAGCCATTAGAGCAGCATAAATCAGAGCCAGTTCTCCTTCATAGTTTCGACAATATGTCGATTCTTATATTGTTTGATATATTCAGCAAATGAAAATTAGTTTGAATAAATTAATCATATAATATCATTGGAATCAGATAATAGAAAAAAATGAATCATATGCAGTTAAGGTATGAAAAAAATAAAATTTGTTAGTTTTTTTTAATAAAATAACAACTATTGGCCTTATTTTTAAACCAAGGATGTGAAAATACGATCTGACAATAAATTGGAAAAAGAAGAGGTTCATGATTTGACCGGACAATAAATTGGAAAAGAAGAGGTTCTTTGATTTTTTAATAAACAAAACATATATATATATATATTTGATTTTTTAAATTTTTTATATATTTTTATTTTTTAATTTGTATTCACGTGCACATGGTGCATGTGCACGTGCATTTATACTAGTCCCTTCAAATACATCAATTACACATCACATGATCATACTTTAAATTATTACAGGCTGGTTAACTCTCCTGTTGAGCTTTTAAAAAACTCAGAAATGAAAAGAACAATGGTATCGTCAACAAAGTAAAATTAATTAAACATAAATTTGCTGATTAACATTACTATTTGTAATTAAGCATAAATGGTGTCCATACTAAAAACTAATACACACAATTCTTTGGACAATTTACCAAAATCAGTTGAAAATTTTTAAGTTTATCAACAAACTATGATTTACAATAAAGATGTGAAACTCCTATGGTATCGTCTTCTTGTACAATTATGTAATTTCTATGAACAACTCATTACAAAATAGAAAAAAACAATAGCAAGTAAAGAAAATAGTATCATCATGTCAGGGAAGCCTCTATGCAACTGCTGGCTAATCTAGTATCTTAAATAAATCATCGACATAAATTTCCCCAAAGGAGCTTTCAGGTGACCCTGGATGTTCTATCTTGACATCATGATCCCCAACTTCAAAGTCAGAGAATGTGGGTGCCAGGGGGAGTTGCATGGCTTGGGAGCTCTGCATATACAAAACTACAAGGTAAGCTCAACTCATTGAATTCAATGAGGACATCCTGACCTTCTGGAACTCGATTAGGGATGTCAAACAATAAGTGATTGTATGGCGGATGAGGAGGTGCATGGTTGCTATGCAAGCACATATCATAGTCGATAATGGTTGTCTTAGGCTGGGGTACAATTTCATCTAGATAGGGCAACTGCATTGTTTGCATGTTATCTGGGTCTACAACATAGGGTGCCTGGATGCACTGGCTATTTCGGTATTCTTCATCAAATTGAATTATGTCTTGGCATCCATGATTATTGTGAGGAAGCTCACCAGAATTGACATTTCGCTTCAAGATAAGCAATTATTATAGTGTTAATTGCAAAGATACATGTTCACATATAAAACGAGTGCAATCGAAAACATCACTTTAAGAAATGCTTTTGAACTAGAAAGCACATACGTCGATTTCAAAACAAATTACCTCAAAATTAGGCATACATTAACCTACACCTTTTTCAATATTGAAGATAGGACGCTACTCTCCCTTTTTCAATACTGTCCACTCTACACCGGCTCATCCTCCTTATCACACACAAACGATACTCACCCCTTTTCAACTCAACCGAGTGATCCAAGACTAGCTACTAGTTGACTTAAAAAAAATAATGCATATATTCAAATATATATATATATATATATATATA